TGAGCACATATTAGAGTGGGAAAAGAATTGGGTTAGTTTTTATCTCCTCTTTCTCAGATTTCCTTGGAGTTTTGATGATAGTTGTCTTTATGTTTATTTGTTTGTTCTTTTCTTTACTAATCTATATATGCCCCCCTAGGTTTGGTGCAAACGTGATGGCTGCCCACCATTTGAGAAGCAACCAATAGAGAATAAAACAGTTAAAGACGGAGCTAAAAAACGGTATACGAGTTTCAATCTTGCTACTTTCTTCACGTTTTCTCATTGTTCTGAAAACTGATGACAAATATGCATCTGATGCTATATTATTCTTGCCTGTCATTTTACATTCATGATTTTCTAATGAAATATTCAATTCTCCAGTAGACCAGGATGGAGACTGGGGAATAAAGAGCTTTCTCAGTTGTGGAAGTGGGCTGACCAGACTCTGGTGCATGCCATCTATTAAGTACTTATTTTCTGATGTTGCTTTCATTTTCAAAGAAATCATGACAAGGCACAAGCATTAATGACTTAAGATTTATTATGACAGTCTTTTCTACTTGAGATGAATATAATGTGTTATCTTGGACAATGTCAATCCGCTAAGTTAGTTTTACAAGGCATTTAGACATAGCTCCAGTTTCCAAAAGATAAAACATTAATGACATACAAAGACTAACACTATTGCTTCCTAACGTCTTTATAATATATATATATATATAGAGAGAGAGAGAGAGAGAGAGAGAGGGAAAGGATCCATTTACACACCACACTTACACAAAATCATTCATCTCTTCACTTTCAATGGTTGAGATTTGTGACGACTTTTTAGATGAAAAAGATAATTATCTATAATAAATATGAAAAAATCTCAACCATTGAAAGTGGAGAGATGAATGGTTAAGATTTTGTCTAAGTGTGGTGTGTAAGGCTTGTGTGTGAATGGACCCTTCCTCATATATAAGATTTTGACAAGACTTGTATGTAAATGGATCCCTAGTCTCTCTCTCTCTCTCTCTCTCTCTCTCTCTCTCTCTCTCTCTATATATATATATATATATATATATGTATTGAACTTCAACAAGGAATTTTGTTTAAAATCCTTTTTGAAATGTCCAGAATGCCTTGACCGATCCTCAATGCATTAAGACTCCTGCCGTCGCTGAGATGTAAGCATTCCAGAGTGTTTGTTGAAGTAAACACTTAACAGTTACTTATAGTTTTCTTTTATGGCTTCCACATTGCTATTGTTTTCTCTCTTTTTTTCTTTGTTCAGTTGTGTATTTCATCATTTTAGTTCTTTTGAACGAGTTCTTCTTTTTTTTCAATTACAGATGGATGAATCTGCAGGACTAGAGGCAGAATATTACCACAAAAACAACAGGGTATGTTCTGGTTCTTTCAACTGTATACAAAACTAGTGTGTCTGCGAAGGTTACCACACAGAAAGCCATTTTGCTTTAAAACAAAGCTTTATTATTTTCTCTTTCCTTTTTTTTTTTCAAAAGAAATTTGCTTTGTCTTCCATAAGGTCATTTGCTGGATTAGATTATCCTGACTATACTGTCATCTCTGGCCATAAAGCGAGGGAAAGAAAGAAAGAAAGAAAGAAAAAACACCTTGATATACTCATTTGTACTTGCTTGGTATATTATTCCTATCAATTTTGAATGCAGGTCTATTGCTGGAAGGGTATCCATTTTTCAGCTTGGCAGGACTTGGAAGGGTTTTCTAGATTATGATCATTCACACAACCAAGATATTTTTAACATAAAATCAACTTAGCCTAACTGAAAATTACATGGTTTCATTCAGCTTACTGAACATGGCATCAAAGGAGTTGTACCTTTTGAACTTCTCCCACCTGATTTACAATCAAAGTTCAAAGGTAAACCAAACGATAGGACAAAACGTTCCAAAAAAGAAGAGACGAAGAGTGCCCCTTATCAGGTTGAAGAAAATCAGGCATCTTGAGCAACTTTTACCTTTGCAAGTGTTGATTTCTCTTTACTTTCTCATTTTCCAGATAGTGTAACAATTCTAAAGTGACCTTTAAAGTTTACAACCAAACTTTTTCCATTCTGAGATACTGATTTTTCTTCATTTAATCTGGTCTATAGATTGCAACACCTGCAAGTGAGAATGATGGGGAGGGAGTCAGTGCAGAGGTTGAAACCTCAGCTGCACCAATGGACACTGACAGCATTGCTTCAGCTGCTAATAGTTCCCAGAATGAGAGAAGTACTCCTACACCAGATGAACAAAAACAAAGCTGCGACATGGATATATGTCAAGAGTCTGGCCATTTAGAAGCAGATACTGAAGTGGAGGCAGGGGTGATACATATCGAGACAGATGCAGAGGTTGAGGTGGACACTGCAGGATGACTTTTGAATTTGGAAGACATTTCTCCATGCTAGTTACTAACTAATTGATGATGCTCTTGATAACTTGTGATTGATAAGTATAACTAGAACAGACAAAAATGAAAAAATATATATATTTTTAAATCTTTTACTCTGGTCAATTTGTATCTCTGACAAGGTTGTCTTTGTACTTAAATCCAGCCCTTTCGTTTTTAATTTTTTTGCCATCGTCCAGCCTTTTTCTCTGAAAAGATTCACTTGTCCAAATGAAACAATATCAGGTCATTTTATAAGTTTATAAATTATTTTTTTATCTACATGTTAGTTTGTAATCATAATATGTTATGATTAATTCCTTATTTGGTACTCATTTATAATATTATATATGTATTCGGATATTTTGTGCTTGGTGGTGATTTGAGAGATAGGGCAGTAATATCACTGTTGCAACTTAC